AAATATGTCCAGTCCCTCCAAAAGTTCCCTGACTAGATCCTCCCTGACCGTAGGTCTGGGTGCGCCTCCCTTGGGGCCTACGGGGAGAGACTTACAGAAGAAAAGTCTTGTCCTCCATGCCACACCAAGACTGCAGGATCCCTACCCTTACAGTTACAGGAAATGCCATTTAGGGACACAGAAATTGACCTCCTGTTTTCAACTGCTCTGCACCGTTATCTTCCTTATGTCCCTCTCACTTGAGGCCTTTGCTCCACAGGATTACCCAATTCCAGCAGGTTAGCTAGAGCTAAGAATGCATTTCTCTGTTGGGTCTCCCACAGACTTTTTTTTTTTTTTTTTTAAATTCCAGTACATATAACATACAAATTGTCAAAGTTATTTCTTACTGAGATTTGAAACACCCACTATAAAATACTATAGCCCACTGTAAAGTACAAGGGCATGGCGCTCGGCCTCCAGTACAATTACCTGGGTACTAAAAATCTGCTGCTTTACCCCTGCACTGCAATCCAGACATGCATGAGGTAATGAAAAAAGGGAAGTTAAGCCTAGTGACAACCTGCCTAAAGTTTCCTTCATCCACAGTTCAACTGACAAGATTCAGATTGCTTCAGACTGCAAGTTTAAAATAGGCTTGGTGGTTTTCCCACAATTAACTCTACTTACAATATCAGCGTCCCCATAGAAAGCTGCCAAATCCAAGGGTGTTCGGCCATTTTTGTCTGTCTGATCTATTGTTGCACCTTTTTCAACCAAATGTTGAACTACCTCTTTATGGCCCTTTAAGCAAGCCCAGCTCAGTGCTGTTAGCCCCTCTCTATCCAGTGATGAAATGGCTGCACCTGAAATAAAACACAGATGGATTTTTGTTGCTGTTTTAAAAAGCAGTGCTTAGCGTGATCATTAAAACTGAAGTTTGATCATTCAGCTTCATTTTGAACTTCAAAATACTCAAAAATCAGTTTCCTTTTTCTGTTCCCCCCATCACTTCCCCTCAAAAATAACATTCTTTTAGTATACAGCACATCGATAAGGCACTATTTAAAACTATTAAAACATTTTAGATGCTGAAAAAATCCATGAAGCTTGCCTTTCTGAAATTAAATATGCAGAAAACTGGTGCAGTAATACAGTTTTAACTAATTATTGATTTTACCTTTGGCAAGTAGAAATTCCACTGTGCTCAAATGTCCTTCACAAGAAGCCACCATAAGTGGTGTCCTGCCTTGTTTGTCACTCAAATTAACATCAGATCCGTGCTCTAACAGAAGCTCTGCAATCTGAAAAAGGATGTTTTAGTTTAAAAACTATTTACACTGATAGACTTAGTTAGTAACAGCCCTTTTCAGAAATACATGTCATTTATATTCAATCTTTGACAATTTATGTTGAGATTAAAACTCTGCCAGCCCTAGAAAACCAAGCTCTCAGTCGCCCCCCTCAAAGCTACCTTGCCAGCCAGAAGCCGCCTGAGATTGAACTGATCTTCCATCTATTCTATCTATAGTCTTCCTATTTAGAAAGAAGCCACAGCAGTATGGTATTTATTAGGTTACTGTAATGCACAAGAGCCTTCATCACAGACCAGAACCCCACTGTGTTAGGCACTGGTCACCTCTTAAATTGCCTTCTCTCACCTCCAGTTACTGAAAGGGTGGGTTTTCACCAGTCCCCTTAGGAACTAGCTTAGAAGACTAACATAAAACATGCACCGAGTTATTATGTGCATATATGTGAAGGAAGAATTAAAAAACTCAGCAAGTATCTCCCATATCAGCTCTTTTTATTCCTGGGCATTTGTTGCACCTGCCAATGTCCCTGGCGCACAGCACAGAAAAGTGGGGAGACCCCCCTCCTGTTGGTTCTTGTCACAGCAGCTCCATGTTCCAGAAGTACTTCACATGCTTCCAGCTTCCCCCGCCCTGCAGCAGCTGAAAGGGCTACAGAAAATCAAAAGGGATTTGTCAACAACATTTTAATTGTGTAACACATCTTATTACCAAGAGCAAAAATAAAACACCACATTTTTCAACCAAACAAACCTCCATATGATATCTGCAACTTTCTGATCTAATTTTCTCTAGATCTAATTAGTGGTTCAAAAACCTTTTTTGCCTTTTAATCATCCTGCCTACCCCCTTCTCACCCCACACAGGCCCAGCATATTAATAAAGTAAACTCAATGTTTGCTATAAATAATCAGAAATAGCTCGAAGGTTCAATTTTGGGGCTCAAGCACTGCAGTACACCATGACTGAAGAGAAGCTAGATCAAAATAGTAACTAAAACACGTACATGGCTAGTACGTAAGAGGACTTTCTGTGGAAGTCTAATTTGCACAAATCAGCCAACATTATGAGTCCATTGTACTACTTTTTTTTTTTTTTTTTAAACAAGATTTACTTGTTTTCTCTAGCTAGTTTATCTATTTTTGCAGCAAACAATGCATGGGAAAAGTAATAATATTACAGTAATAAAGAGCATTGATCCTTAACTTTCCCTTATTTTTTATGCACTAAATGAATGGTGAATTAATACCATATATTTGATGATAACATTTTTACTAGTCATAGAAATACTTTCAAACAGCCCAACAAGTTACAGTATATGCAACTCCTGATTTTTACCTAATGCTACTTTGGGATGAAATCACTAGTAGTTGGCCTCTGGACAAAAAACAAATAGGTACACAGGGTAGCCATTTGTGCTGAGTTAGAGTACCATATCCACGCTGCTATTGCCATGTGCTGTTAGGGTTGATCATTCTAACAGTATGGTAGCATGTGTGTAGAGGTAACAATGATAAAACTCTAGACATGACCTTTATTTATTACAGACATTTATAAGGTGCACATCATTGTACATGGCTTATGATAAGGCAAGTAATTCTCATCTGTAATGCACTAATACCTTGTGACCCCTCTCAGCACCATGACTTTAAAGAGAGTTCTGCAGTAAGTCTATGCATTTAAACAACTCAATCACCTTTTCCCATAGTTTATTATGCTTTTTCACTTTTCACTGTGACACTCTTTGAAGCTTGAAAATAAAATATTTTCCCATCATGATTTTGTTCTCTTCCATTTGGCACACATCAGCTCTTTGTGCGTTTTAAATGGAGCTTGAAATTAACATGGGGCTTTTTGTTGTTGAGTTCTTTGTATCCGCATCACCAATGATGTCAATGCTGCTCTGAAAATAGTGCTTACAAGCTGGCTTCTGCAAGAACCAGCAAAGGATTCACAACACCACCATTTCTGTCTAAATGTGGCATAAACAGTGAGCACACTGTACCTAATTTTACTGCTCTGTGAAAATACAGATTTCTTTTATTACAAATTTTTCAATAATATCAAAATAAACTTTGAACTTGCACACAGTCACAGAAAAGTAATGAAAGCAATCACTGTACAGACTGGTAAATCTGTAATTTCCTTTGAAGTGCCATATGACTTGCATCTCTAGCTTACTGCTACCTTGCTATTTTAAAATTAGACCAAAGATTTAGGTCTAAACAACTTAACAGTTACTCTTATAGACTCCTAATGTATAAAAATCACTATTAGAAGAGCAAACAAACTGCCGTCTTAAAACAGACCTCAGATTTATCTTCTCAGCTCTTTTGCTCAGGGTGCAACTCTGAAGTTAGTTGCAGCACCAACATGACTAAAGTATGCCATATTCGGAAACAAGAAAGGCTAAAGCATAGCTTAGAGCAAGCTTAAACAAACAATATCATGACAAAGCTGCATTCAGGAATTCCGAGCATTCTGCTGAAAAGGACCACCTCTGATCTGCCTAATGTACTCTGCAAAAGCTCAACCCACTTGCCCTTAATAAAAAAAGAAAGAATTTAAATGAGCAGCTAAACAAGCAACTGATGCAGAATGGAAAATATGAGAGCAGCCCATTAGGCTGAAGGAAAACTAATAATCTTTGGCATATCTTTGGTCTGCAGCCAAGAGTGTCAGAGGGAAGTAGTAATTAGGAGGAAAAAAGGATGTTTTTTTGTCTGAAACAAGACAGGCACAAAGTTTAGAAATCTATTTGAAAACAAGATTATAAATGGCTACCACAGCTTGTAGTATAATGCAAAACATTAAACATTGTATTTCATAGCCACTACATTGTCTGAGAGAAGTTGGTAATAGCTACTGTATGTACAGTTGTGGATTGGCCTTTGACTCCGGAGTTTTATGCTGTAAAGATCACCGCTTGTCTGGGAAGCACAATTTGTCTTAAATATCATAATGGACATGTACAGATGTGTCACTAACTGAACTTTATTCATATATATGCATAACAATACACTCCCCTCACATCCAGGAGCCATGTGCTAATTAGACACCCACTCATGACTGAGACCAGGCATTCTTGTCACAAGTCCTGTGATCCTCCAAAAACGTATATGTGGATGAAGCACAAGGCAACCTGGTCCAGCTCCACCTCATAGAGAGTGGGGCCACATTAATCAGAGGCGACAGGCTGGGAGAGCTGCGAACCTGACCTAAGGAAAAACATTTCCAGTTTCAAATCTAAATTGTTTAGTTTTGTTAAATTAAAACCTTTTCTGCTTAGTACAGAGCTCAGCTAAATCATATTACATACTTCAGTATACCAAACCATTCCGAGATCTTCTGCCAGAGAATTAACAAGATAAATTAAGGATTTTGTATATTTGTAACTTCAAAAAAGTTATAAACATTCAAAACAAGAAAGAGA